GTTTGTTAGCACGTCACATCGTCCTGTTTGCTCTGTAGATTGAGGGGAGAAAAACAGAGCCTGAGCCTTCCCCTGCCCTGGCTTCACCCCTGATTTGGGCAGTGCTTCCCCAGGAGGAGCAAGAGGGCAGGGAGGTCTCCCTCCTCGTCGGAGCAAAACAGAGGCCTGTAAAGCAGTGGAGCAATGGGAAAGCTCTTCCTTTCCCCAGCACCTCAGGGCTGCTCTGCTCAGGAGTCTTTGCTGGGCATACCCCAGATCACTGTCCTGCTTGGCTGTGCTGGGTTTGGGCACTGTCGTTCTGCATGGCTGCTCATCATGCCTTAGCAAAGATGGGCTGAATGGGGAGGGGAAAATTGCTCCCTGCAGTTTGCTTTCTCAGCCAGCTGTCTGTGAACAGCCCAGCATTGCTGTCCCAGGCCAGGAACAGGCTGTGCCCTGTGTGGCAGGCACTGCAGCAAGGAGCCCTGTCCCGCTGCCCTGCGCTGCTGGAGCTGCTGCTGCTGCTGCAGGGGATCCACGTCCGTCACTGGGACAGAGCTGCCTTTGTCCCTGCAGCCTGGAGGATGCACAGTGAGGACCTTGGGATCATCTGGTTCCAAGGTTCAAAGGGTAACATCCAGCCCAGCTCCCTTGCAGATGTTGGAGTCGCAGGTTTGCTTACGGTCTCAGCTCTGACTCCTTGTTGAATCCAGGAGAATGGTTTTACTTGGGTTTGAAAGCCAAACTGAGACCACAGAGCCTGTGTAAAAGTCTCCAAAAATTACTCCCAGGGACCTGGCATGTCTGTGGCACTGCCTATCCAGAGATCAGAAGGTATTTCACAAATACAGCCAGGGAAAGTTTATGATCTCTGTGCCAACATGAGGAACTGAGGCAGGGAGACCAATGACTTACCCAAGGTGCATAGTGGGGCCAAAGGTGTGTAAAGCACCTGGATCCTAAACCTCTTTAATCTGCCAGCTGTCAGCAGCCTCTGTGTTTCCCAGGGCTCCCCAGAGGATCTGGTTTAAGGCATGTGGAGGACAGACTTACCTAATTCTGCTCTTTCATATCTAGGCATCTGTGAGAGCAGGACTAGTCTGGGATGCTTGAATTTTAATTTATTTTTTTTAAACAGAGATTTAAAGATTTAGTGTTTCAGGGGTTCAAAGGTGAACAGGCCTGCATGAATAGTTTCTGATTCCATTTGCTGCTGCTAGTACTAAGATTTGCCAAAAGCAGCTTTTAATGGTAAGTCAACCCCATTAGTCTTGAAGGGTCTGTGATATGAGTACAGATATGAAAATTCCCAGGAAAGAGTATGTCAAGTGCTGTACTAACCTTCTATAACTTTGACTGTGTTATTTTAGAGGAACTTTGCCTGCCTATGCACCATTTCTCTAGGAATGTAAAAATCCAACAACCATCACAAAAGCCATTCACATTAGCAGCCTCCTTGTGAATTTTAATTAACAGGAAATGCCACTCACGCATTGAAATTCAACATCCAGAATATCTCTGCTTTACTCCTTTGATGTTCCCCATCCAATCCTGGACCAACATCCACATGTTCTCCTGAGACACTTGGAGGAAAATCATTTTGGTTTATTTACAATAGGAAAGCATTTTGTAGTATCTTTTATCCCAGAAGCATTCAAGTCGCTTTACAAAGTGTTCACACAGAAGAGCTGCTCTGTGGGTCCTTACAGGGGAGTGAGTCCAGTGCTGTGCACAGCCAGTTTGCATCCAGCAGCGATGCTGGAAGTTTGGGAGAGAAAGGGAAAGATTCCTGAAACAAATGAAAGAAAGCCTGGCATGACAGGGGGAATTCAGCTACTGCAGGTTAGATAGCCTTGGTTCCCTTAGCACATTTATCCCTCATTGGTCACTGAAAGGATATTGCTGGGATTTTTCTATTTTTCTATAGTAGAAACCTAAGAACATGTGATCTGGCTGTGTATTACCAAAAATTGTTCATTTGCATGTAATTTTAACAAGCAAAGAACCACCACTAATTGGCTAGTCTTTCCCACACTGCCAATTTCTTGAATGGGCAGAATGACGTGATCAAGAGATGCTGATGATATTGCTATGGAGAAATACCTTCAGCCTTAAATCGTTCTATTTTTGCCCTCCATTCATCTTCTTCTCTCAGTCATTTTATTAAGCTGTACAGTTCATGCAGCCCATGCTCCACCTAGGGTACAGCTGCTCCTTTACGTTGCACCATTCCCATCACGGTCACCACCACAGGGTCACACTGTCACTGCAGGTTGAACTTGCAGGTGTCTTGGCACAGATTCACCCTGAACACTGTAATCTGCAAAGCAGAACTGGATGTAAAACCTTTGTCCTGGTGGGTACAAGCTCAGTGCCCATCCCTAGTCCAGGCAAAATCAGGCTCTGCTTCCTGGCTACGATGCCAACGAAACCCTTTGTTGTCTCATAGTTCCAGCAAACCTCTTGCAGGCACGTGGGGCTCTTTGTCTCCTCCTGTAGTACTAAAAAGTCGAAATCGATGATGTTAAAAAATTTTAGGGCTTGAGCTCTGTAGAGACTGGATCTTGGCAAGAAAGCAATGTCCCTATATACCACCTGGGAGTGACACAGGGCTAGAAAATGCACCTCGGAGCATCCTGGGGGGACACAGCGTTTCTCCTAATATTCCTCTGTTTTCCTTAAAACTCTCCCACCCACAGACGTCTTTGCTTTTGAGCCGGAATGAGCCGGACCTCGAAGTCCTTCAGCAGAGTGTGACCACAAGATGTCAGAGTTGCTTCGCTGCGATGCACAGTCCTGCCCTGCCCGTGTCCTGGTCCTGCCTGTGTCCCGCTCCCAGCTATTCCCCGGGTATCCCTATGAGCACAGGTCATCAGGTCTGGGTATAAAATAGAAGATATTCTACCTCTCCTCTCCTGTAGTCCATCCTGCAGGGATCAATTTTGAGCTGAGACGGAGGAAAAATCCAGACTTCACAAACAAACCCTTCTTGGTGCCGCCTGGAGTTACTGCTTAAACAGTTCCCCCCCAGACTTCAGGTCCCTTTGCCAGATAATGTAGCAGACTCAGAAAACACTCAAACACTCAGCACAGTGTTGTGGACTTGAGGGTTTTTTTGTTCTTTATAGCCTATTGCTAAATTTTTGTTTGCTGCCCCAGAAAGCTGCCTGTGTAGCCTGGATGGGGTCCCAGGGGCTGATGCTAATATCAGTTAGCTCTGAAGTACAGTGAGAAAGACACTTAGTCTTAGAAGGAGAAGCTGATGAGCCTCACAGGCTCCAGCTATGGGTCTTTTGGGCTAGTCCCTTATAGTCTGCACACTGAATTCAAGACCTAATTCATGGCCTGTGCAAGCAATTGCTATGGATGCTCCAAACAAACAGCACTTTCTTTCCCACCCGCCTGGCTGGTGCCTCTTCCCGGCTGGAGCCAGTCAGAATTCTCATCCGGCCTCTGTGCTCCAGGGCACCAGGAGGAAAGCTTTGCTTCACCAGCCACACAGGAAAAACAAAAACTTTTTAACTGTACAGTGGAGTTGTTGAGCAGAGCAGCAAGGGCAGAAAGGGCCTTGCCTAGTGCCTGCAGGACGGGCTCAGGAGGCAGGTGGAAGTTTGCTCTGCCAGCTGTGCTCATCGTTCCTCCTCCTCCAACAACTGCCACTGCTGGGGGGTCCAACCATGTCCCCTGGGGAAGGTGCTGCTCTCCCACTGCTCTCCAGAGGGCAGAGCCCCACGTGCTTTGCTCCCAGGGGTGGCTGGGACAGGGATGACTTCCAGACCTTTGCCCTTTCTCACCCAGGGGAGCATGAGAACATCCTGGGGGCCTGGCAGTTTCCAGCTGGTGGGAGGGCTTGGCTCGGCACGGGACAATGGGTTCCCTGCAGGAATGGGCTCAGCTGCGGCTGGATGAGCTGTGTCACCTTTGCCCACAAGTGGTGGCTTCGTGTGAGAGCATCTGGCAAAGGAGCAGGTTTGGCAGGAGCCAGGGAAGGCTTCTGTAACCCACAAGCTCATAACTGAGGGACAAACACTGTGGGTTGGTCCTTGTCTCCTGGGGGGCAGGTTTGGTGGCTGGAGCTCTGTGCCTTGCACATCCTGAGGGCCAGGCAAGTTGGTCCCAAGAGGGCTGCACATCCTGGCTGGTATATTTGGGAGCTTCTCAGCAGTTTGGGAATCCTGACTGTGGCTAGGTTTTCTCTGCAGTGCATTTTCTGGCTATAAAAAAAGGGGAAAGTTTCAAGTTTGAAGCTTCATCTTCCTGTGCTAGGACTGTGAGAATCATAGAGTCATAGAATTAAGGGTTGGAATGGACCTTGTGAATCATCTAGTACCAACCTCCTGGGCAGGGACACCTCATCACTAGATCAGGTTGCACAAGGCTTCATCCAGCCTGGTCTTGAACACTGGCCTTGAGATGAACCTTGAAGCAGTTTGTGAACCCTGCACACAGTTTTAGCAGGGAGGAGCAATCAGAACAGACAATTACCAGCACATGGTTTGCTGGATCCTGCCATGCTCTTTGTGCCATGACTGATTTCTGAAAGAGGAAAAGCTCCCCTTCACTCCGAGAGAGATGCCAGTCCTGCTGCTTGCTGGTGGGCAGTGTGAGGAGCAGTCAGCTGATTCCCTATAAGGGATGGCGACACCCCACGTTCCATGTGATGCTTGTTCCATCTTTGTCAGCCCATATGTCATTGACTCATTTTTTTCAGCTATGTGTCATGAAAATAAGCCATCTCTGCAATAACAGTAAGACCAGAAGAGGTGTAAAGCCTGAGCAGTGCTGAGCATTCCAGCACTGTTCTGTAGTGGTGTTATTCTCCAGGCTTCACACTCCAGGTTTGCCCACTCACTTCAAGGATTGCCAGCACTGCTGATCTGAATTGCCTTACACATCTTTTTTTTTTTTTTTTTTTTGTTTATTATTGAGTTCTGGCTCTCTGGTGCTGCCTTGGTTTCCTATCCTGCCTCTCCTAACAGCCACATTTGGGATCCTTTCTCAGAGATATACAGCACTGGAGCATGGAGAGCTTTCGAGCAAGTCTGGGGCACCTCACTGCCACTGGGTATGTAGTGTTTGCTTTAATCCCTCTCCTTCCCTCTGTCTTAATAGCTGTTGTATGGCCTTTTTCCACTGAAAACCTTCTTTGCTAGTCAAAATTCTGCCCCAAAGGATAGCTGAGTCTGCTGTCAAGCAGTGGGAGAGAGGGATTGTCTGCTTTGCTTTAACCCTGGGGACAAGCTCTTCTCCCCACCAGGTTTTCTGGTCTCCAGAGAGTCACTCCAGATGTGAAGCCTGAGAAATTATATTCCTTCCCAAATGTTTGTTTCCATTAGACATTTAAATAGCTTTATGGGACATTTCATCCTGTCTGCAGTGGCCAAATTCTTATCCTTGGAGATTTCCTCTGGCACTGCAGCTTTAGTGTGAAACTGTTTACTCTGAGCAGTTCTCTGTTTGTCACCCTTAAAACTGCAGATTTGTGTTCGGCCTCCTCTTAAGAGGCAGAGGGAGCAGAAACTGCCACTCAACTGCCTCTTGTCCACTAACATCTTGTAAACTCAGAGCTGGTCTAACAATTTCCACAACAGCCAGGAGCCTCTTTCTCCCTCCAAAATCCTCTAAGTAACCTCTAAAGCCACAGTCAGCCACTGCCAACAAGTTGACCCCTCGGAATTACTCTCTTATGAATAACACAATGCTCTCCTGGGCTTGCATTAGAGGAGGAGCAGTCATATTGTACTTGGTATTTGATCTTTCAAGAAATGCCTTGAACTTCCCTGTCCTGCTGCTTCCAGGGGAAATCTGACTCCCAGCTACTCAGACTAGCAGGGAAGCAGAGAAGAGTGAGACCAGAGGCACTCAGAGAAAGACATTATAAAGACCCATGAGTGATCATCTTGAGAAAGACCCCTAATTAGTACATTTATGGACTTCCTCGGCTAATGCCTAGGTACCTGTTCTTTTCACAGGATGAGAGCACGTGTCTACTGTGAAGACATTCTGTTCCCAAAGGTGCACAGTACCATGGCAGACCTATGGTGTATTTACTCCAAGCCTGTCCCAGCAGACAGCAGAGAGTTGTGGACCTTGTTTCTGCAGTGTTCCTGCATTACAGCACTGATAGGAGGCCTCTTTTACAACTGGATGTTTGCTTCCCTGGAATATTCCTGGCATCTCTCTGTTGCAATGACTGTCTCCTTCAGTCTGCTCCTTCTCCTGACCCTTTTCTTGGTGCATCCTGCCCGTTGTGTCTTCAGCATGATCATGCCTACGTTAGGTACCAAGCAAGGCCGTAAACTTCTCTTGTCAACCTGCATCATGATAGCAGTGGTGAACATAACACCCAACATCATAAGCAACATTAAAACCATACTGCAGGTTATTAAGTGCATCTGCAAGAATTCCTCTGAGAGTCTTCTGAACTCCACTGCTCTGCTGAGGACAGCTTCCTGGGAGCTTGGGAATGCCATCCAACAAACAGCTCATTCCATTCATAAGCCTATGAATGGACATTTTCAGTTTTCATTGCTTCAGAACAGCTCTGCAATTTACCAACACATGCACTTTGCCAGTGAGAAAATTAGTAGGGACTTTTTGTCTGTTGAGGTACTGGTCAAAGACTCTGTAAGAGTAGGCAACAAGCTGGTTGCTGGTTTCTCCATGCTCTATCTCTGTTTTGAGTCCACCTGGTATTTGAAAAATTACCTCACCAACCTCCGCTTTGACAATTTTTACATGACCAAGAAGCTGAAGCATTTAGCTGTGGACAGAAAAGCAGCTCATCTGCTGGGGAGCTCATCCAAAAACCTCATCCGACCAACAGGCTTGAAGCTGTCCCGGGAAGAAGCAATGCTGTGCCTCGTGCACGCTGTGCTGCTCACTGTGGCCCTGATGCTGATGCTGGTGGTTGTGGCAATGGACCACTTTGCATTCAGCATGGCAGACACTGCGGTGAGAAAGGCAGCTCAGTTCTCTGTGGTGCCCATCACTCTCCACATCAAATACAGGGTAAGAGCTGGGTGCCCTGCCCTGCCCTGCGTGGGAACCCTGCTGTGTGTCACAGCATGATGGGGGATTGTGTTTTTTGTACCCTTCTTACACAATCCTGACTTCCCTCCCTAGCAGACAGCTGGAGCAATAGGCTTTGAGGGGACGAGGCAGTGGCACAACCTCAGTGGCTCCTCCCAGTGCATCAAATAGCAGCAGACACCTGCTCCAAATTACAACCCTTTGGGTGTGAGGAGGGGAGCAAATAGTGCCCTTTGCTGCAAAGACACTGGAGCAGCAGCCATCAGGTGTCCCTTCAGCTCCAAGTCCCTTCCCTAGGCAAGGTGAAGGAACAGAAGTCCCTGCAGCAGTCACCCCACTGCAGAGTGGGTGCCCAGAAGGAATGGGGAAGCTGACGAACACATCTTGGCTGTGAGGATGTGTCCTCACCTTAATGCACTGGCTGTTCTTTAAGTAGAAAGCTCTGCTCACTGGCTTTGTTGTCACCCTGTGCAATCCTTTTCCACGAACCTCCCCAGTTTCTATTTCAATATCCTTTATCTGGACTAGTTTTGTTTTGGTGTTTTACCTTTCCTCTTATGCTATGCAGCCTGTCTCCCTCCCCAGCCCCAGGATCCTTAGTGCAGACACTTGGTTATGATGGATTTACAGGAAAATAATCAGGGCTTAGAAAAAGCCTCTAATATTCAGATAAGAGCCACTAATACTGCTGTCTGGATGACCTCTTTCATTGTAATCTCACACAGTGAATACCTGTTATGATCTCTGTGGCAGCAGATAAAGATTACAAATGGGACTGGATCTCACTGTGCTGAGTACTCAGTGCCTACACGTCACACTGTTACTCTCGCTCAGCCTGCAGTGTGCATACACTTCAGTGTCCTTCTCTTGATGCTGTAACAACTGAATCAATGCTGACACACCCCTAAACTAATGGTTTTGTAGTAACCACTTGATTTTGGTTTGTTCATACCCCATTTACCTTTAACTCTCCTTATTTCAGGCTGAAATAGGGATCCTACGCTATCTTTTCAAACTTCTTCTGCTTCCTTCTGAGAAATTAACACTTCAGGACTTTGACAGGACCTACCATCATCATCTGACCTTCAGCTCTGCCCACTGCAGGATCAGCCCCCCAATTCCTCCCAATCCTTCTGTGCTGCTCGTTTTGGGGCTCCTCTTCTGCATCCTCTATGCCACCGTGTTCCTGGAAACCTACGCACGCCGTCTGTGCCGGAAAATCGCAGCCTCCTTCTTCCAGAGCTGGGAGGAGAAGAGACTGCTCTACCTCTACAGGAAGCTGTCCAGGAGGCAAAAGAAGGAGCAAAACTGTGTGAAGAACTAAGGGTGTTTTTGGAAATCGAGGGGATGCCTGAGTATGGCAATGAGGCACGGGCTCCGTTCTGCTCACACACAAAGACCTTTATTTTCTCTCCCAGTTAGCTTTTATACAGCTCCCTAGTACTTTCATATCACTCATACTCCTGCATATTTGTCTACCCATGATTCCTTTTTCTTACCCCTTGTTTGCATAATATATACAGTCTTTAGCAACAGTTGTCAGACTTCTTCTCTGCCTCCTCCTTCCAGGTGCTGTGTACACTTACTGCTCCCAGGGTTCCTTGCTGACCAGAGCAAGCACATTGTGGCACTTGTCCAGTGACACAGGGTCTGCTCCCACACCTGAGACCTGTGGCAGTGACTGGGCACAGGCTTCACACTTTGCATTTTCCAGTCAGAGAACTGTTTGCAGTCTGGGGAAAAAACATTTGCCAAAAACCCCAAACCAAACCATACTAAACCAAAACAAAACAAAAGGCAAAATGTCACATTTGGCATTAATTAGAGAAAAATGGGTCTGAACTCAGCTGCTTCAGGAATGGTGGGAGAGGGCTCATCTGACTTGGAGCGTAATTGCAGCATTAGGCAAGGCTGACTGGGAAATACATGGGAGTTGGAGTGGGAGAAGAGCTCATTTATCTCTTCCACCATATCCATGCTAGAAGTACACACTGCCTTTCTTTTTCAAGCTATGCCTTCAGGCAGGAAGAAAAGAAACTCATTTGACTCAATTAACTTAATTTTCAAAGAGTTTTTCTTTCTGGTTTTGTGCACAGAAACCTGGGTAGCCTGGACAAATTTAGAAGCTAGTTTATTCACCTAAGAAAGTGAATAAACCAACTGAAATAAATTTGAGACCAATATGACCGTGAGAGACACATCCAGGACATGGGTGGAGGAGGAAATCAGCACATGAGGACTTCACAAAATCACTTCACAATGGCTCTTCAAAATAAAATACAAATAAAACAGCTGGAGGACCTCAGAAGAGGATGAGAACAGCCAATAGAGCCAATTTGGGTGTCAGTCTCTCTTCCCAAGTAACAAGTGATCGGATGAGATGAATCAATCTCAACTTGTGCCAGGGGAGGTTTAGATTGGATATTAGGAAAAATTTCTTCAAGGTTTATCAAGCATTGGACCAGACTGCCCAGGGCAGTGGTGGGGTCACCATCCCTGGAGAGATTTAAAAGATGTGTAGATGTGGCTCTTAGGGACATGGTTTAGTGTGGCCAAGGCAGTGCTGGTTAATTGTTGGACTTGATTGTTTTAAATGTTATGTTGTTTCAGACTCAGAAACTACGTGAATGTATCCAAAATTCATAAATCCATCACTGAAGTGTGTTATTTTTGATAGAGAGGCAGACTGGACACCTCTGTAAGAGAGGGAGCCAGAGGAGGAGATAAATCTGTGCCAGGTTAAAAACAAAGCAAGTTCACAGCTTCATTTCTTCAAAGCATGTCTCTATTATTTTCCTCCCTCCTTCCATTAAAGTGTTCATTAAGGTAATTATTTGACATAATGCACCTCAATGAGATTAAATGACAGAAGTGAAGTGGCAGCTGCTGCCAGATGCACCAAATTTTCTCAGCTTCTGAGGTACTTGAAACAAGTAGATCTGGATTGTATTTTTAAAGCATCTATTGAAGAAAACCCTGGTGCATTCATCTCCCCAGATTTCTTAATTCCCTGCTGTTCTGATGATTAATCCAAGCACCTTTTTGGCCTCTGCAGCAACTGGGAGACTTTGTCATGTGGTTTCTGTAGAAAATGCCCTGTGCTCTTCTGTTGGAGGAAAGGAAAATGATTTCCATTGCGTAGGCAAAATTACCTGGAGCCAGGGGTTAAAATAGCTGGGAGGAGAAGGGAAGAGATCCTTCAGCCAGCAAATCATCCCAGCAACATGTCACCTTCCAACAAGAACTTCCTTTAAAAAAGTTTTTCCTTGGGAAGAGTTGTCTTTTTGGCAAGAGATGAGCATTAATAATGAGCTTGTGCAGCATATCAGCCACATCATCCCTGGTGCCCAGTTGGGCTGTGATGCTTTCCCTGGGCAGGGGAGCTGGTGGGAGGCAGAGCTGCTGGAAATTGCTTTGCTCTCCTGAGATATGTTGTTCCTCAGCCAGATAAAGGTGTGGCAAAATAGAAAACAATGCCATTACAGAGCTATATTGTACACTGGAGAGGTGAGCTGTCCTGCCAGAATTTGTTTAACGATACAACAGAGAAATGGTGAACAGATTAACCAGCAGACAACGTTAGTTGATTCACATATTTTTAATTAAGTAGGACTAATGTACAAGCCTTGTTATTTGCTATGGGGTTTTAATCCCTCAGAGCCCCTGCATACTCCCACCCTAACTCCTGTTCTTAGTGACTTGTTTCCTTTGGTTTCACTCAGCACCTCCCTCCCACCCTGCAGGCAGGAGGAAGGGGAGAGTGAGGCTTTGTCCTGTGTCACTGTCACCCTCCAGCCCCTGGTGCTTGGTCTGGAGCCCACGGGACAGGCCCTGGTTGTCCACCTCCTCCACAGGGCAAAATTCTTGCTGGGCATTGCTTCTCCTACTTATTTTCTTATTTCCTGTCCCTGTCTGCATTCTGCAGGGAAGGGTTTCATCACATCTGGCTTTTGGGTTTGGATATTCGTGATGTTGGAAGTTCAGGGTCAGACGGTTGTGTGCATTGAGGCAGAGGCAGGGCTGGGGTGCTCTGGAGGGGCTGATGGGCACCAAACTTCCTTGTTTTTTTTCCCTAGCTTTGTTATTGCCATGACCCTGCTGCCCATGGCTTCTCACTGTAGTTCAAATCTTCAGCTGCCACCAGTGGAGGTGTTGCTGTTGACCTGTATCCACAGCTGCCCTTCCTGGTTGCTTGCTGTTCCGAGCTGGATGCTGCAGTAACCCATGAGGACATGGGAACTGGAGGGGGTCAGGAGGGCTGGGAAATAGAGGGCACTTGTAATGGCAACTGTTGGTGATCTCCGGAGCTCCCGTCGGAGTGGGGCTCACTGCTGGGGGCAAAGTCCTTTATTTTGGCTTTGACAGGGGGTGATCCTGCCCAGAGTCAGTTCCCTGACCAGGACTCCCTGGGGCCATTCTTCCCAGAAGTTAGCACAGTGGAGGTGTCAGCCTAGCAGGGCACACAGGGCAGGGCTATTTGACTAGTTTCTTCTTTGCACTTGTTGAGATTTGAGGTTTCTTAATTACCTAGAGGAAAGTGATAATCACAGAGAGAAAAGTCCATGAATTGCTTTTTCTTCCACCAGTGCAATCAGCCCAAGGAACAGAAAGACACTGGCACCTGAGACAAGTTCTACCCAGAAACCTCTGATTCCTTTGGAGTTTTGTGGTGGATTGTAGTGGATTTTTCATAGATAAAATATATGCTAAGTTCCTGTTTATGGCTGGCTGGCAGGCAAGAATGAATGGCTTTAATATACTGAGGCACAAGTGCATATTATTCAGCTAAGAGAATGCTCTAGGAAAGTTCTCATCCATAGCCACAAATCTGCATCCACCAGAGCAGACAGACAAGCAAACAAAACCTCTCTCCAGAAGCAGGTCCTGATATTGAAGCAAATTCCATTTTTATTGCATTTATCCTATCTACAATATTTGCACTGTAATTGCAATGGAGAAGCACTTCCAAGCACCAAACTTTAGAAAAGGAAGTATTAATGAATATAAATAAAAGCAAATAAAAGCTATTTCATAGCACTGTGCATACAATTCAGAGTGAGAGTTTCTCTAGTTCTGGCTCTTTAGAATGCAGATTGTGTCAAGGTTTCACTCTGAGCAAAAAGCCTCACATTCTGCAACAAAAAGTGTGGAAATGAGGAAAAAGCAATGATGGTTATTCCTTTTGCAATAAAAGTCAGTATGTGGATATAAAAGCCAATCCTCTATGCAACTTTCTCAGCCCCCAGGACTCTGTGCACACCACTGATTTCCAAAGACAACAGAAGATTTGACCACCAGCTCAGCCCTCAGGCACTCAGAGAAGCCCCAGTTTCAGCCAGAAACTCCAGTGGTTCACAGGGAACACGAGATGTCATGGCATGTTGAGGAGATGCTGAAGAAGTGCAGTTAGTAATAGGTTCACCTCTAACCCTTCTCAGCCCTTCCCAAGGGGCAAAAGCAAGTTCTGTATTTCTCTGCTGATGAGCAATTGAGGAAATGAAATCACCAAAAGAGATGTTTTCAACACACAAACATAATGTGAAAAAAATACATTTTCCCACATTTCTTAACTGACATGATGTTCCAGTGGGACATTTCATATTTTCTTATCCTACCTGGAAATAGCTGGGGAGATCCTTTCGTGTTTGAGAAGCCAATGCTGTGAATTTATTTCCCATGAGATTTAAAAGTCCAGTGATATGACTAATCAGGGGTGATCCATGGCTTATGTGGGAGGTTTTCCTTTGAAAGAGGTTGAGAAACTGAAACAATCAAGTTGAAAGTCTGAAAACTTCCTCTTTTATTAGCAGGATATATACCAAGGCTGTTCAGAGGATGAAGTGGGAACTCTGCAGACTACAGGAAGGACAAGGTCATAGCTGAGGGCTCTGCTGGCATGGGCTGAGTCACCTTTTCCTTTTGTCAGAGGAGAAAAGAAATTGCTCCATGTGCCCAGTGCTTCATGGTCTATACAAGCAGGACATCAGCAATGCCAGGTTCACAGTCCCAGCAAAGTGTATGGCGCAGGGGCAACTTTGGGGCAGGAGCAACTTTGGTCCCATCTATACCTTTCCTAAAACAGGTGCCACATGGATTTTGCTCTCTTAGGAGCAACTGATGTTGCACATGTCATCCTGTGCTCTGTGGGAGGTGAGCACTGTGCTCCTGATGGGGCTGATGGGAGGAAGGAACCACCTTCTACGGTGAAACAAATTCATCTCAGAGCAGGGAGAGCTCTTTCCTCTGGCTGGACACTGCAATGAGCAGTGCACATAGGAAAAGACTTAAAAAATCTCTGAAGTGCCTAATTGGATGGAGGAGGCT